CCAGAAAAAGCAGGCATGTGCGGAAAAGAATCTTGAATTATTCATTTTGCAGATGTGAGTTACTACTGTATAATTTGTAGAACAGGAGAGTTATGTTCGCACTGGATGGGCGCAAAACTGATCAGGTCTGATCAAACCCCAAATAACACAGAAACTATACAATCAGAGTCGGAACGAGTGTCAAAACAACAACGGAGAAACCTCACAAGATGAAAGCAGCAATGCACAAGGGAATTTGAAATTAGTAAATAATGATATCAAAACTATACCGTAATAGGACGATTCAACAAAAGACGACCAGAGTATTAAGAACAATATAAAGAGGGAGATTTTTTTTAGCTGCATTGTATTCAAATAAATAGAACATTGGAGAAATTAACTAACAACTGAATGACTTTTCAGTAGCCAGCGGGCGAAGACAAGACATACTATCAAAGGTTAGGAAGCCAAGATCAAAAGGCAAGTGTCGGCATGGCCGAGTGGTTAACGCGTCGGACTAGTAATCTAATGATCGCTAACCTCAAAGATTGAAATCCCCGTCAGGGGCAAGTCGTTGTTTCCTTGAGTAAGAAATTTACACTCATTGCTCAGTACTGGTTGGTTCCAAAAATGGATTCGATAGTGTGTCTTTCTTATATAGCTTCCTACACAATCGAACTAAAATCAATTCTGTATAAACCAAGAGCAAAAGGCAGATCACATGGGGCATTTAAACTAGAAGATGACGATACAAAGTTGATCAATTCTTTGTTTGCTGCAAGGAAGCAGACGCAGTGAATAACGAATGTACCGTTTTCGTAAATGACACAGATCAGATAAACTGTTCTACTTGTTAAATATAGATATTTTTTTTCTATTTGCCAAATGGTTATCTTTACATTTATTACAAAAATTGAATCTAGTATTCCATATTGATATGTTTTCATTGGATTGAGGTGTTTGTTTTTGAGTTTAGAATAAGTTTATAATATGTTTTGTACTCCAAATTCCAATTCAATTAAATATTAAATTTGATAAATGGAATATAATAGGTAATGAATATAATGGTCGAGTATCTATATCTTAATTTTTATCTATATAGAAATCTATCTAAATAAATTGGATATTCTTAGTGTTAAAATCCGGTTAAGACAATGAAAGTTTCGTTATTTTACATAGAACCTGAATTTTTAAAAAAGGTGAAAGTAATTAATATCTAAACACCAGCAATGAATTAGGCCGGAAAGAAGTGTTCTACTTGTATGATGTAGCTTCTAGTTTCATGTAGATGTATAGCGCTGTGTTGAAATGTCTTTCCTTAATTAAAGTTACTGTTTAACATTCAAAACAAATCTTTTGTTTGTTTTGGTTTGTCTTTAAAAGTTTCGTTATTTGTACAAAAGACTTGAATTTCTAACCTATCAAACAGATCATTAACGTAATATTGTATCACAAACAACACATTTAATCCTCAGCAGTGATACTACGGATTGTATTAATGACTATAACTAGCCATATACTAATTAATTCTAATTATGAAATATGAAGCAAATTGTCAACATAGTTCAGCTGAAGCTAGTTCAAAATGTGCATAAGGTTATCCAACAAGTAGTACATGATATTAATTGTTAAATTGACATCCAATTTATCATGTTACAATTAAAAGTAATATCATTAATAAATAAATAAATATTAATGTAATAAAAATTAGCCTCTGTTTATAACAACAGGTACTTTGTCACGAACATTTCTCGAATTTTGAAAAATGTAAAATAGGTATATTTAACTAAACGGTCGAATTAAAAAGATTAAAATGACTATTTATGTTAAAAATATTTTACCTGAGCTTCAAGGATGATGCACGGAAGGTTTTAAAAAAGATCAACAGTATTTCTTTTTTAAACTTAAAGTTTTTCTCAAATTTTGATAGGGATAAATAACGACCGATTATCAACAGCTGAGAGTAAAAATGTCTTAAACCTGACATATATAATGTTATAACGGCTTTATGCTATAGGCAGTTTAATGCAAAATAACTATATATATATATTATATACAGTGTAACTTCCGAAAACCGAACACCCATGGGACTTATAAAAAAGTTCGGATTTCAGACGTTTCCGGAATTCAGAGGTTTATGATAATGTGGACAAGACTAAGCCACTTAATGTCACTAAATGTCAATGAAGATGTGGCCATTACTGTAATATCATAATTATTATATAATAGTCTTTTAATCAAGATAAAGATGTGAATGAAAAGAATACATTTTTATCTTACCTGCAAATGCTTTTGAATTTCTATCAGTTTGTAGAAATGTTGTTAATTGCATAAACTTACATATTGTCCGATGCTAGTTTATTAATTATTACATCAAATGCAATAAAATCCCTTAAGATGTTTGATGCATACATTGTCCAATTAATTGTCATTTAATCCGCTAATAAACACTTCAAATTAACTGATCGCCGTAAATTACTTGATTAACCGCATCACTTCAAACAAACCATTTCACAGTTTGTGATTTTAACGCATGTCAAATTACACGATCACCGCTAATTAGTAAACAATCGATAGGGAGATTCAAGCTTCCTGCTGGGTAAACATTCTCGATTTACAATGTATTTCACACCTTTGGATATTTCCGGTTTTTGGAGGTAAAATTGCATTGATCTGACTCTAATTGTACGAAAATATCGTCCGGAATTCAGAATTTAGAAGTTCCGGAATTTAGAAGTATTATAATATGAAAAAGGCAAAGCCTCAAAGCGAGCTCGATGTACTTTTAACTTGAAATAGTATAAAATAATCGCTCATTTTTATTTTAAATTTTCCGTTTTAAAATTGTCATTCGGTATTTTATACACTGCTTCCGTTTATTCTGGTTCCCTCCTATTAAATGAATATAATTAATGTATTTTATCATTTGTGCTACGTGAATTACCTTAATTTACAGGAAGAAAGAAGGAATCGGCTCGACTGTTGTTTCAAACAAATGCAGTGACGAGTGCGTGTGACGTCACACATACTGTGTTAAATATGGCTTCGCCCCTTTATTTTTTCTGTTTTTGTTTTCTAACACGTCAAGAAAAAATATAATAATTATTATAATGTTGGACTTTATGTTTGGGTGGTTTAATTTGTTTTCGCCTCAGAGTTTTCAATAGAAACGTTCTTTAGAGGCTCTGTTCCAACGACTGAATAAAAGATAGTGGTGTTCGGATTCATTTTCTTAGTTAGACAATTTTCTTTCATTCTAGATAGTTTTCACATCAAAATTCGACAAAAAATTGTTTGGATTTATCAGATTTTTCAAACAAAATGGCGCCCTCAATGTGAAAATACACAGGGAGATAATAAGAACGGCGAGTGCATTGTTGTCGGGCCTTCTTTGTTTATACGATAGTGTTAGAATGTTTTGTTTGTTGAAAAAAGAGGAGGTAAATGTACATTTAATGAAATCCGGCAAAACCTATGTACGGGAAAAGTCGGTTAAAATAATCGTTTAATTTTCATTTTACATTTTCCGTTTTAAAACTGTCATTCGATATTTTATACACAGCTTCCGTTATTCTGGTTCCCTGTCCAATTATGGTTCCCATAGAAGTGCGCGGGTGACCAGTCTACACATCCGTTTTCAGTCAGAATTCCTCAGTTTTTATCGTTATCTTTAAATTCGAAAAGTTGCGATGTGTCATATCAGTACTTCGGACGAAAGTTTTCAAAACCATCACTTAGGTACTCGCGTTACCGTAAAGCTTGCTTTGCGAGCAGGCCCTTCGGGGGGCCTGCTCTTCGAGCTCGCTATTAATAGAAAATAGAAGGGAAAAAATCGGGACCGAAAAAATTGTTCGGTTTTTAGAAGTTTCCGGATTTCAGAAGTTCCGGAATTCGGAAGTTACACTGTATTGAATTGAATTAATTATTGCTTAATAATGGGTACAATGTATATTATTAAATCATGGTCACAATGCCTTTAAAACAGATCTACGACTAGTGTTAGATTTAAAATCCTGACAGAGTCATGCGTTGTCCTACAGTCTTGTGTCAACGAAGAACATAAGATCTGTCGCAGTAAGCCTTTCATAAAAAACTAAAAAATTCTAAATACGTATTAGATCTAGGAAATCTCGCATAGTCTCACATGAACGTTCAATTTTGCTGCGTTTCCCTAACCATGATCCTGCGTTGTTTTACAAAGATTTAATGTCGTTTATGTCTGCGTTGACTTATGTGATCCTGCGACAACGTGCGTTGTCTTATACCCATATCCCGACGATGGCGCCGCCTGTTTTATCCGTTTATGCGTCAAGGTATGTACTCACACAAGACTAAGGACTGTCAAGACCCACACTTGACATTTTAATTTTGTACATTTATATTAAACGCAATTCGCTGATAACACTTACTTTAGTCACTTAAAGATGCAACTGAAATCGGTAAGGTATAAAAAGGGACTCCAAACCTTATGTTTAAAAAAGACGTAACAGAAAATACATGCTTGGGACGTCGATTGGTGAGGTATCCTGTCCGTGATCAGCCACAATTTATAACCAAAGGAAAGGTAGTACCAACATAACGGCTTATATCCAATATCATCGATCAATAAATTTTTAAGTAATCTCCGATCTGGTTGTAAAAAAATCATACCTCAATAAGACTCCCCATCTAACGGCTAATACTTTTATAAATCATGTACCGTCATTTAATAAAATAACGAAAGTACATCGTGGTACACCCAACGAGTACCTAAGACAAAAACACATCGACGTGAGTTCGCGCAAACAAACGTAGAAGGTGGTATACTCGTAAAACTTGGTTACGCCGAAGTAGAACAGTATAAAATAATTTGTAAAGTAGTCTTGCGGTGCCGTCGAATGCATCCTATGTCAACGCAAAATAGACATACATAACGTGTTCAAACATATATTTAAATGCTTTTGGATTTTGTCAAAGACTGCAATTTTCGCGCAAATTCTACACTGTCCTCCACAACTCCATGTAAAGAAGCCTTTACTCACCTAGATCATGACAAAGCGCAGCAATCTCTACACATAGTATATCCTTTGATGTGATGTCTAGCTCAGGCTGGCGTTCTTTAAGAACTCTTAGCAGCTTACCGGCTAGGTGGCATACCCTGTTAATTCATTCTTTTAAAACAATTGCATGAACTAGTTTACGGTATTTCAATTTCTAGTTTTATATATTGACTTAATTTTTGTTTGACGAAAGGAAGTAATACCGTACTTTATCATTAAAAAATGCAAGTAAAACTAGGTGTTATTTAGACATTTCAAAACACCGTACTAAGAAAATCTAAAAAATATAAAAGCTCAATATCTACGGTTTCTTGAACAGGAAGAAAACATTCAAAACAAACTCCTCTCTTTAAATTTATAAATCTCATTATTGCTTAACAAATGATAAGTCACTAGGAAAAATCATCTTCCCAAATGTATCTAAAATTGTTGTGGACTCCTAACAATATAGGATCTTTGTGGTGAAGGTGACTCTATTGACAATTGCACTTATCAATATAACTTTATTACCGCTTATCAAAGTGATGTTTTAGATTATATAGGTTAATATACATTTTTTTCTTTAAAAAAATGTATCTTAAGCTCTCTGCTATAGCTCATACAAACGAATCCATTCATAGTTTCCAAGAATTCAAACTGCAACTAAAAATATATTGAAATCAATAAAAGGGTATAAAGCTCATAAATGAATCTAATTAACTATTTTCTATGAAGTTAAAAAAACGAAACAATTATATAAATTTCATAATCTTATGCTCGTTTCTTGAAAGAGTTGTAACATAGAATGGTTCTGTTATTTGACACACATGAATATTCTCCATAAATAGAATAAAGCGGAACAATATATTATGTTGCAGTCTTAAGTTTTGTGTTAAATTATAAGGTAATGATTTCGTAAACGCGACATTTATTTGCTTTTGAGAAAATAAAACAACAACATATTTCTTTCATTCTTTCATACAGGCACTTTGACATCATTAAAAAAAAAGAAAAAAAAAACAACAAAAAAACATCCTTATTTATTAAACCGCGGGTAGTAGAGATATAGCTTTATACAATTTTAAACTTGCAATTTTAGATGATATAGCTCCTTACTTGCTGTATCAAGACGTTCACGTTTGGAAAAAGAAGAGATATTTACAACAAAAATGTTACATACCCTATGGAATGTTCGAATCTGTTGTGACTTGCTCCCGGGTAAACTAAATACACAGTCTCTAATTGTTTGATATGTCTCAATCTTTGGAACTGCGGTGTGTCGATAATCATCATACATATAGGGTGCAATTCTATTTGACCATACAATGGGTCATTGAATACCTTACGATAAGTAAAATGTGACATTAATTTTTAAGCAAGGTCTACTGTTTAAATTTTGTTTTCTGAATTCTATGTAAAGAAAAAGAAATAAAACTCACTATAGAAGAACGAGATAAGATGAATGCATAAACAAGATTATGGTTTTGATGCTCTCCGAAGGGGGAGCATATAGTCGCCGCTTTGTCCGTCCGTCCGTTCGTCCGTCCGGCCGTCCGCTATTCTTGTACGGGACATAACTTTTAAACAACAAGAGGTATCAACATGAAACTTTGTATGTAGATACATCTTATTGAGTAAATGTGCAGCACAAGAACGGTAACTCTGCCTTGCCTAATTTTGAAATTATTGCCCTTTGTTTACTTTTACACTTTGAACTTTGTCCGGGACATAACTCTAAAACTATACAAGATATCAACATGAAACTTTGTAGGTAGATAGATCTCATTAAGTGAAAGTGCACTGCTAAAGAACCATTACTCTGTCTTGCCTTATATTTGGAGTTATTGCGTTTTGGTTAATTCTTTTCACTTTGAACTTTGTCGGAGACATAGCTCTGAATTCTTAAGAGGTTTGTAGGTAAATTGATCTCATTAAATAGAAGTGCAGCGCAAAATTTTGGAGTTATTGCCCTTTGTTCATTTTTACACTTTGAACTTTATCAGGGACATGACTCTGACACTTCAAGAGGTATACTTTTCTGTGTCCAAAACCTACCCGGGAGTATCACCCGGTTCAACCGGTTCTTGTTAACAATTGGCATTAAATATTTTGTATTAACTGTAGGATAAGATATGTGGTCCGTTGAATTGTATATGATGTCAATTGGATGTCAATAATTTTAATGCTATTTTTCTTAAGAACAATAACTGTAACTTTCACAAATTAAAAATTGAGTTCAAACGTGCTTGAGAATAAGAAGCAACAAGGCCTTTTTAGATAAATTAAATACAAAGAAGTAAAAAATGGCATTACCAATGTGACTCATTATAATTATGATATTAAATATAATTGTTTTCAACAAAATATGGATTTGATAGTTCACCAACACAACAGCAAAGAAAGAAAAAATATTATATGCTAAGAATCTCTGATCAAATACTAAAAGCTATCATAAGACAGTAAAACGAAAACGTTTTAGGTTATTTGCCATAAAAATAAATACCTTTGCGCTTAACTTTTTCTTTTGTTGTGCAAAGGCCCAATTACCGTCTCCTTGGTCTATAACATGTTCTGGAAATGCAACAACGAAAACATATATCAGTATTATTTAATAACATCATTTTGTATTATAATCAGTGTAAAATAATTACATTATTACTTAAAGATGTTTTCAGTCCCATTGTAAAGAATTATGACATTCCCGTACTTTTTACTATTAGCCAATAGTTTCTATTAAAATGGGTATATTCCCTGAGTTAGAAAATAAGTTAGTGAAGAATGTGGAGTTTCGAAATTATAAATTAAAGAGATACTCAGGCACATTAATGACAACAATATAAAAAGATGTTATTAACTCAAATTACGCTATAATGACATATTTTTTTTTAAAATCCCAGTATGAATTTCTGTATTAAATTCTACATATTTTTGGTTTTAAGCGTACATATATCTTTACGTGTTGAACGAAATTTAAAAAATGACAGAATCACCGAGTAGTTTAAAAACAAGTTATGTGACTTGAAACAAGAGGTCCAAGATGGCCCTAAATCGCTCACTTAACACACCCATCGAACTCATTCGAGCAATTACTTAGACAAGCATCCTGACCAAGTTTGATGACCTCTTGCGTTAAAAATGTTTTTTCCATATTTTGCAATGTTACCTTGTTTTTGACCCCAGGTAACCTATATTCAAACTTGACCTTGAAATCATCAAAACAAAATTGTAGACCAATTTCCAGGATATTTGGATAACAACAGTAGCCACTAAAGAATTAACAAGATTTTTCTATTTTTAGATCATGTGACCTAGTTTTTCATTGGATATGACCAATGTTCAAACTCATTTGAGCAGTTAACTAGACAAGCATCCGGACCAAGTTTGATGACAAGTTATTCATACACCTTTATAAAAGAAAGAAAACTTATTTGAGGAAAGTAGCAGACAATAAATAAGTGTTGACAGATGTGTAAATATTAAAAAAAACGGCTAGGAAATTGGAAAACTTGGAATAATTAGAAGGCTGCCTTACAAAGGCTAGGTTGTTTACTTATTCTTCAGGCTTATGGCTGTCATTGCTTTTTATAAAGCATACGGCAGTTATTGCTGGTAGGATATTTAGATATGCCCAAATTCATGCATGTGGAAGGAATGTTTTTTTCAGACTGTAAAAATGAAGCAAAAAATTAAGAGACGATATTTGGTGATTGGTAATTTAAATGAATAGAAGTCAGTTTTCTTCTTTTTATTTCTTTTGACATTAAAGTTATTTATCATTTTCAGCTTTGCTTTTCTCTAAACAGCCTGACATTGTCAGCAAAAATAAAATTGAGGTACCACATGGGCAAAATCTTAAAAAAGTAGTTTCGTCATTGAAAAGTGTGAAATAATATTTTGATAATTTTTACTGTGAAATTATCAAATATAATTTTCACGGATAAATCAGTAATCGACTGAAAAGGTTCTAATTTTTTATTCATCTGAGTGTCACAAGTGAACGTCTAATATTTATATGACCTTTCAAAGCATTTTTCAAGACAGAAAAATGAAAGAAAATTTCAAAATGAAGAAATGAAAATTTTGTATGTGTCTCCCTTTCAAATGAAAACATATACTCCTCATTATAATGTTCTAAATGTTTTATTTATTATATTGCCACAAATCGACCTCTTATATTTATATGACCTTTCAAAGCATTTTTTCAAGTTCAAAATACTTAATAAGAGTAATATTTCTAAATGTAGAAAATCAGCACAGAAACTAAATTTTATTTGCAGTACGTGTGTCAACTGTACTGCTGCTGCTGCTGCTGCTGCTACTGCTACTACTGCTGCTACTGCTGCTACTGCTACTACTACTACTACTACTACTACTACTACTACTACTACTACTACTACTACTACTACTACTACTACTAATACTTCTACTACTACTACTACTACTACTACTACTGCTGCTGCTACTACTGCTACTACTACTACTACTGCTACTACTACTACTGCTTAGTTACTACTACTATTACCAATAAAGGTACTTTGATCGTAACTATGAAAAAAAAAAAGAATTGTAAAAACCAAAGGTAGACATACCCAATGTTTTGATTGTTTCCTCGTATACGTTTTTAGGAATATAAACTTGCAATGTCACGAAGTCATCTACCATTTCTTCAATTGCCATTGCCATATTTTGCAATCTTCTCCCCAATATTGGTCCACTAAAGTAATCCAGCAGGTATATCAGTGATGTTACTGAGGAACATGTGAACTTGAACATAATAGAACCAGGTCCAACGCTTTCAAAATCAGGTTTCATTTCACGAAGGTCGTCTGAGATTCTCTCTAAAGTTACCCTTAATGTTATTCTTGCTGAAGATTCTCCAGTGGAAATTGTTCCAGATGATAAGTCTTGCAGAGCTGCAGCAAGTTCTTCTGACTTTTTGTTTCCAGCCATCCAACTTATTCCAATAGATATTGCTACAATTAAAGTCATAATCAGTTTGAAACAAATGTTTTTTTTCTACCTGTATCATTCAATACACATGTATAATTATTCCAGGGGTTATCTTTTTGTACAACATGAAACTAATCCTAAGTAATAAGTTGTTTTAACATACTTCTAATTGTCAGTATTTTTTGTAATATTCAAATTGTGGTTTAATAAACTTGTGGTATAATAAACAACTGTCAAAAAGGAGCATATAATCTTACAAAAATGTTATTTATCTGCAATGTTGTAATACTATTAACTTTTAATTTTTTATAAGTAATAAAATACAACAACTAAGCAAATATTGTGAAGAAAAATAATAGTTGTTTTACTTGTCTCAATATTTTTTGGCCGTTTATTTTGTTCCAACTTGCAATGATACTCCAACAACTCTACTTTTACTTCATCTACATCTGAAATATTATTTTATGTAATTGTATAATTAAATTTATGTAATCAATTGACCAAATTCTAAAAACATGCTATGTTTATATATATATATATATATATATATATATATATATTAATGGTACATCGTAGAAGGTAAATCATTATACTTGTATAAGCTTTAACTCTCTAGATACGACTGACACAATTGATTGTGAAACCATGCAATACCTTTTCCATCGGTCTCAATTGTTACTCCCACGCGGAATTGTTGTTCTTCGGAGAACCATTGTTTTAATTCTTCTTCTCCGTCTTCAACGTCTTCTGCTTGAATGTTTTTGTTATTTTCAAAAATACTTTCTAGTTCTGTCTTGAGCTGATTATTGTCAAGCTCTTTTGTACATCTATCAGTGATGCCCTTCAATGTTTCAATATAACTTTTATATTTGTCTATTGGAACATCTTCAGTACCTCCTAAATGAAATACATTGTTTCTTAAAAGTTGCAAACTTAATATGTCTTGGCGAATCTCTTTTCTCAAATTGCAGAACTTTAACAGTAGGAAACAGAGCGTGCTCAAGTCCCACTTGTTGACATTTGGTTTTCTCTCATTCCTAGGGTAAAACTTATATCTCTTTAAATGTATCTGCTTATGCTTCAGCAATTCATTTTTATTTTCCCTTAAAAAATCATCTACAGTCCAAGCATGGTCAGTTTCTTCAGGTGTATTATCACTGACTCTTTTCAGGAATAATTCCTTTGTTAAAGTTACTCCACATTGACGAATAGCTACCACCAAATGACCATATCGCGCAGGCTTTCTTGCAGTCATTCTTTTAAGCAGATTTATTGCTTAACCATAGGATACTTGGTTCGATATGTTTTCTAAAAATAAAGGAAACGTTTTTTTTCTCAATATACTGATTAAATTAAAATAATGGTATGATTATTTCAAAATGATAAACATATTATCCTGTATTATGAATTTATTTGTTTAGATTAAATAATGTACTAAGAAAGACATTTTAAAAGAAATTCATTTCAATCTAGTACAGAAATGTGTGTAGGAAACAACTAAAGAAAAAGATTTGCGATTGAAAACATATCACACGAAAGAAACGGTCAAGCGCAGCCTGAATTCGAATCACAGCTTGTCCAGTATGTTCACACCACCTGTCGCTTTCAGGTACTTAAGTAAATATTTGAAGATAAGATTCAATAATAACCACTTCTTTGTCATTGAAATACCTTTCAAACGGAAAGGTAAACAGTAGTACGGAGCTGATTAATATTATTTTTATTGTATATCGAAACGACTTTCCAATCTTATTTCGATACTTACTGTTATCAGCTTGCTAGAAGTGGAGGTATTAATCCATAAAAGTTTGCTTCTACATTTAATCCTTATTCAGTTAATAAATGACAGAACCAAAAATGAAAGCTGTTAATTAAGTTGAAAGTTAATAGGTTAAGTGTCAAAAACATTCTTTATGAAATATGACGATACAAATATATCTATGGTAGACTAAGTATATAATCGTTTTGTGGAGTACAATTCGGTAATTGTATATTTTGTTAAAAATAATAATAAATAATTAATAAATTGACAACATTTATCATGGATTATAGTAAAGGTACTAATTATCTCAACATGGACAAAAATTGATCACGTACTCTAAGCGCTATATAAAGAAAAGTTGCTAATTTCTTAAAAGTATCAATATCTTAAGTTGGCATCAGATTTAAATATTTTATATATGAAGGATATTTCCAGAAATAGTCACTAATGTACGTGTGTCTTATATCGGAATGGACAAATGAGTACAAAATGGTACTTATTTTCTTGAACACATTCACAAAATCGGCAATACCTATAAACACGTTCAATACAATTAAAGATGAAGATCGAAAATGTGCTAAAACACTTTTTTTACTTTCTTATTATCTTCTAATATTCAGACAATAGATTTGCTTCGCAGATAATTTAAAATAATTTTTATTTAAAAAATGAATATAATCCATCAATTTCACATTTAATAAACATTTTGACATCCAATTTGGAATATATTTGTCTTTTAATTTATTGACATATACTGATAAAAATAAAATTGGCTTGTCCACACATTGCTTTTCCCAAATACATGTATATACAAAACCATTTTGATACAAGTTAATTCTAACTACAGTTACCCAATTTTCATGACAAATGTTATCAAACATATTATAACAATTTTCAACATATCTAGAAGGATGCATATCAATAATACGCATCCAATATTTCACAATACGTTTATAAACCAGTATATACATAGGGCAATGACCCAAATCCCCTAGAACTGAAACATTGCAAGCTTTTGTTTTTACATAAAGAAAACGGTTATAAGCATATTTATGCATATCTTCAGTACATAAGGTGTTACATGTTCCCCTATTTAGCACCCATACAATAGAACTGGACTAACTTTAACATCAAATATTTTGAATAATGTTTGATAGTGTATACATCCTAAATTATTTTACGAGCTGACAATATCATTAAATACATTCTTTTTTCTTTTTTTTTTCTTTTGAACAGGTAACTTCGTTTATTGTCTCCGTCATAGGTAAAATAGGGTCGGGGATCCATCCGCTATTTCACCTTACAAGTTTTCTAACAAACAATATATACACAATATGACAAGGACAACATAATTATGTAAATTGTAAATTATTATAATTCATGCGCTATAAAATTATGACATGCTACAAAATAATGCAACAAGATTAATAGATATAATAAATATAATCAAGTACACATAAGTATTTGTTTTTTTACTTATATATGAGAAAAGATATATATTAATGTAAATTCACATTAAAAAAATAAATAAAAAAACAACAAAAAAAAACAACAACAGTATTCGTATAGAGGCCTATATGCACGTTTCTCATTAAGGTTGTCTGATTATATTTTAAAAATATTTTATGTTTCTTTAATTTCCTTCTCGGTATTCTGATATAAAATATAAGGTTACTCATCATCAGGGATAATTTTTGAATAAAATTTTGCCACAAATTATGAAAAGAAATTACATTTTAATTTAAAAAAGCTATATATTCTTGATTTTTTAATTTTATTTTTAAGTATATTAAAAACATATTTATATTTAAGTTATTTTGACAGTTTTCTCTAAATTTTGTTTTATAAACATAGTATTTTGCCAATAATGTTACAAAATTCAAAATAGAATGTTTTCCATAATACGAGAACAGTATGCCTTTCATGTCTGAAATATCAAATTCGACAAAACACTAATCTCTAAGTCAGTCTTTCAATTCTAAAAGAAAAATTTTGGTATACGGGCATTGATAGAATAAATGTTCAATCGTTTCCCTATCAATGTTACAATATGAGCATAAACCATTATCTCTAATATCTATTCGATGTAAAAATGTATTTGTCACAAGAATGTTTTGATAAATCTTATACTGAAAATCTTTCAACTTTATTTCTTTCACAGTATTTAAGCGTGTACAATGATTTAAAAACTCTTTCTGTGATAAAGGTCCTACAGAATTTACCCATTTGTTAGGAACAACTAAATTGTCAGCGTCAATAAGGATATCATAAAAGAATCTGCAACCCTTACTATTATGTATAACACATTTAACATAGGGATTTAATGAAATGTTTTGCTTGTATAAAAATACTTTATCTTTACTGTTCCTAATCTTTTCTCTCCGTAAAAAAGGGATGGACTCAATGACTTGTCGAATATCTAAACATATGTCTCTTATCTTATATATATCTTTAAATATCTTATATATATCTTTAAATTTTTGAATACTGTAAATATTACCATCATTGTCATATAAATCAATAATAGATATTATATTGTGATGTATCCAATTGTTAAAAAATAAATTAGTGTTACGGAATCTAGTGTTAAACCATAATGGTGAATATAATATATCTTCGATACTTTCTATGTTCATTTTATTTGCAAAAGTTAGTCCATGTTTTCAACACTTGTTTCCAGAAAATATTTGAAAGTTCTTCAGATATAACTGATGCATAACCAGGACCAAGTTTTACCACTTTGGTTATATTCAAACGAGAGAGGGTAACCCAAGATTCGCCATTTTCGTAAAATAGACGTTTGATCCAACTTAACTTTAAACTTTTCATAAAGGCTCTAACATTTACCATTTTAATACCACCTGCCTCTATATTTTTATCTATAACTGATCTTTTAATTTTATCTGGACCTTTTTTCCATAAAAACCGGTATAATAATCTTTCTATTTGTTTAATGAAATTTTCTGAAGGATTTGGCAATGACATAAACAAATGTACAAATTTTGAAATAATCAAAGATTTTATAATTGTGACTCTTCCAAAAAGAGTTAAATTACGCTTAGACCATACATTTATTAATTTTTCACATTTATTAAGAATTTCATGTCCGTTTAAGTCCCAAATGTCCTCAACGTCTGCGGAAAATATTACTCCTAATATTTTTATTGGAGATTTAGACCAGTCTAATTCAATCTGTTGACATAATTTAATATTTGATTTTCTTCTCGACCCTATCCAAAATGCCTTTGTTTTTTCAGTATTTATCTTTAAACCAGAAATAGCATAAAATTTATCAAGCGTGTTTAGGCAATTTTCTAATGATTTCTCAGTTCCATCTAAAAACAGCTGTGTGTCATCTGCATACTGAGTTAACTTATATTCTTTATTGTAAATCGATATGCCAGTAATATTATTATTTTTCCTAATCATTGAACCTAAAACTTCCGCACATAAGATAAAGATATAAGGTTAAATTGAATCTCCCTGTCTACAACCACGCTTAACTATAAAGAAATCTGATAAATGACCATTTTGTATGATACAGGTTTCTGACCCATTTTGGAATAGATTTATCCATTTTTTGAAAGAGGGACCAACATTAAAATAATCTAAAGTTTTCTGAATAAATTTCCAAGAAACTGAATCGAAAGCTTGCTGAAAATCTATAGATAGTAAAAGACCTAGTATATCGTTTTGTTTAGTTTCAAAAAGAATATCATATAATTATCAATCTGATATTTTCACTTATACACCTTCCTGAGATAAAACCTTTTTGATCTTGGCAAATAATGTTGTTTAAAACTCTTTTCAGTCTGTTTGCTATAGCAGCAGAAGCCATTTTATAAATTACATTTAAAAGTGTTATTGGGCGCCAATTCTTCATAAAAAATCTACTTTTATTCGGTTTAGGCAGACAAGTTATAACTCCTTGTTTCTGAGTGACAGATAAACTATCATTAAAGTAGCCAAAGTTAAGAGCTTTTAAAACAAAAAATGAGAGATCTTTCCAGAAAAATTTAAAAAGTTCAACTGTATATCCGTCTAAACCTTGACTTTTACCATTTTTCATGTTGCTTCAAGCAATATTTAACTCATCAATTGTCAATTCGCCCTCTAACATTTGAGAATCCAGTTCACTTAATTTATTTTCATTTTCCCCTATAATGTCTTTTATAGGAGTTTCTTCTATATTTGAATTTTCTGTATATAATTTTTCGTAATAATCTTTTTTAAAATTGAGTATATCTTTCGTATTTCTTATTTCTTCATTGTTTTCCATAATCAGTTTTGTAAAATTTATTTGTAAAATTTCTATTTTCAAGATTTCAAAAATAACTACTAGGTTTTTCTCCTAAATTTTCATAACGGCATTTCGATCTTAACATCACTCCTTCTAACTTTGATTTCCGTAACCCTTCATTCTGAGATTTCTTTTCATTAAGTGCCGCCCAAGTTTCCTCACTCGAAGAATTGAGATTATCGGATATGTGTTTTTCTAATGCTTGAATATTTATTTCTAAATCTTTTTCTAGTTTTTCTAATCGTTTTTTTC